AAGAGGTGAGGGATGGATATGTAGATCTGAGAATCACTGCATGGAGATGGTAACTGAATCAATGGGTGCTGAAGAGATCTCCAAGAGGGCCCAGGACTTCAAAGTAGGTCAACGTCCCTCCAGGAAGTCTTCCTTGATTTCCTGGCTGGTCATGGTGTCCCTTTCTCATTCCAACTCACGGCATTTTACTGGAACTCAGTGTCCTCTTTAGATTTGATTGCGGATGAGGCTAGAGTCTTATCTAATCCTTCTGTCTCCCTTTAGCGTGCTAGCACTTCACTCTGCACACAACAGATGCTGAATAAACATTTATAAGTCGAAGTTCCTTCAATTCAACAAGCATTTACCAAGCACTTACCAAGGTTACTTCTTTATTTTCAATTAAATTTTTGCAAAAGTTCACCCAAAGGAAGGGTGTCCCCAAATTAGACTTAAATAAGGTTGAAAGGCAGAGACGTTGAAATGTAAAGATGAGGCCCTTTCAGGTAGAAAGCCCTCAATATCTTAGCCAGGGTCAGAGGTTGGAATAGCCCGAATACAAATGATGAGGCCAAGGAGAGACAATGAACCTGTCCTAGGGCAGAAACTGCCACTATAATTTTGTCCCCAGTCACTCATTTGCATAAGACCCAATGGGAATCTGGGAAGTTTAGCTTGGTTGATCATCATAAATAAAAGTGGAGTCCAAAACTGAAGGAAATCTCCCTTTGCACCAAGAAGAGTTGTTGAATAGGAGGAGAAAGACCTTTCCCATCACCTCTGCCTGGAGGTGACAAGTGCCAGGACTGGTATTCTGAGGGAGCCAAATAGGAGAAGCCTCTGCCAATTGGAGGTTAAAGGGCATTGCCCACGCCCCCAAAAAGCTCCCTGTTGCACTAGACTTGAAAAGAGCAATGTAACTCCCACTGTGCCACAGACTATTAAACCTGATGGATAGGGAGCCAGCCTAGAAGCTGACTGACCCAGCCAGCTGAGATCCCTTGCCCTGCAAGAAACCTGCCCAGCTGATACCCGAGCAACTCATCCATTACCCACATCATGCCCTAGAGCAAACTTCATGTGCACCCTCTAGACCAGGGGTTCTCAACCTTTTTCTGTGTCATGAACCCCTTTGGCAGTTTGGTGAAGCCTCCTCTGAATACTCTTTTTAAATGAATGAAATAAAATACATAATATCACCAATGATACAGATAAAATTGAAATATGTAATCAAAATATTTTTTTAAAAATTACAGATACCAGGTTTAGAATTTCTGCTCTAGCAAAAGAAAGGATACCAAGGCCTTAAAGTTCCAAAGTCATGTATTGCCTTGACTATGTATGTTCCCTATATGTATGCCTCACTATCAGTGTATGTAAGTTTGTGCCCATTCTTCCCTACACCACAGACTCTATGTGTAGTTGCAGGAGAGGATGTTTTGGGTAAATTCTTTTTGAGTACTGTTACTGCTATGCCATTTGAGTAAAGATGCCTTTACTGGGACATGAGTATACTGGCTGATTGTTAAGGGGACGTGCACTGGTGGGACTTGTGAATTACACGACTAGAAGAAAAGCTCCCCACAAGGTTACCCCTAGAATCTTGAGAGTAGTAGCAATCATTCATCTGGGGACCCAGCCTGTGCATATAAGCTGGAGGTGGGAGCCCAGAGGGTATGCACCACTAACAATTAGAGCTGTCCCAAAGTGGAAGGGGATGCCCTTGGGAGGTAATAGGTTTCATTTCAGTAGAAATCATTGAGCAAAGGCTGTATAAGCATTTATTGGGTGCATTGTAGGGGAGATCCTTATCCAGGTATTGGCTGGTCTAGATGGCCTCTGAGGTCTTTTCCATTTCTGAGAGTCTGTGAGTTGTGTCCCTGAGGGCAGAGACTCTGTCATAGCCATCCCTCTGGGTCCCTCAGTGCTCAGGGCAGGGGTCACAAAGAGTCAGAGAAGACTGGTACATTATATTCTGAAAGTTATTTCTCTATTTCATTTGTGTTCTCTGATTAGCACATGAGTGTGCATAGTAGATTCTAACAAATTTTTTATTTCTTCTGGTTTTGTTATGATTTTCCTTTGTTCATTTGCTATTTTATTGACTTCATTTTCTGCTCTCTTTGTTTTGATCAGGTTAAGTAAAGCTTTATCATTTTGTTAGTTTTTTTAAAAAACCTTTAATTTTATTTATCATTTTATGGTCTTTTTTTCTCACTATTTCTCCTCTAATTGTCAATACCTCATTTTTGTGCTTTCTTTAGGTTTGTTCATTTGTTGGATTTCTAAATTTTTAAATGAATATTATTAATTAAGCCCCTCCTTTTGTTTTGTTTTGTTAATGTATGTTTGTAAGAGATCTGATTTTTCTCCTGTGAAGTGCTTTAGCTGAATTCCAGAAATGCAGATATTTATTTCATCATTTTCTTTCATTTAATTATTGTTTCTCTGATTTGTTCTTTGACCTGCTTATTATTTAGGATTTCATTATTTAGTCTTCATTTGGGGTTTCAGCTTTGACATTCAATATTCCAAACTAAGACCATTCCAGCTCTGACATTCTTTGCTCTAAACTTCCTCCCAGCTCTGATACTGTTACTAAGCCTATTTCTAATTCCTACATATTGTGTTCTAAGCTCCCTCCTAGCTCTGACATATTGCAGTACAAATTCATATAGCCCATTGTGCCCTGCATGCATTAGACATTTAACAAATGTTGAATGAATTGATAGCTGTTCAGGACCTGTTTGAATCCCCATGCAAATCTTTCACTGGAATTGATCAGAATGTTCCAAAGGTAATTCTGTTGAGGTACTCAGAGTTAGACCAATGGACAGGAGAGCTGAAGCTAGGGCTTCCTCGGGTAGCATCTGGCTTTGCGTGGAGTTCTGGCCTAAAAAGGAGTTTGCGCCAGGGTTCACACTTGCTTAGGAATAGTGCTCTGACACCATATGACCACTGGGGGTCAGCAGAGGGTTTCAATTTAATTCAATAAACATTTATTAGGGCAGCTAGGTGGTACAGGGGATAGTGCTGAACCTGGAGTCAGAAAGACCTGAGTTCAAATCCAGCCTCACACACTTACTAGCTGTATGACCCTGGGCGAGTCACTTAATCATTTGCTCTAGTTCCTCATCTGTAAAATGAGCTGGAGAAGGAAATGGCAAACCACTCCAGTATCTTTGCCAAGAAAACCCCAAATGGGCTCAAGAAAGGTTGGACACGACAGAAAAAAAAAACCAATAGAACAACAGAAAACATTTATTAAGTGCCTACTATGTGCCAGGTATTTTGCCAAACTCTGGGGCTACAAAAAGAGGCAAAAGACAGTCCTTGCCCTCAAGGAGCTTCCAATCTAATGTCTTTAGGTGCTTAACCAGGTGGGTGACCTTCAAGGTCATCTAATCTAATCCCAAAATTTTACCGATGAGAAAACTGAAGCCCAGAGAGGTTAATTTACTTGCTCAGGGTAGTAAGTGGCAGAGCTGGGGTCAGATGATGCCTAACTCAATCCTCTCTCTTTTCATTGCCCCACATTTCCTCCAGTAGAAATGGGTTCACCACGCCTTCAACCTCACCTCTAAAGAAAGGGCTGAATTTACCACTTATTGACCACCTTGATCTTCATTTATTTTTTTCTTTCAAAATCAACATCCACTCATTGACCATTGGGCTGCATTGTATAGTGGAAAGAGCAATCCAAGGACCTGTGTTCAGATCCTGATTCTGACGCTTATTACCTATAAGATCTCAGGCAAGTCACTAACCTCTCTAGGCCTCAGTTTGTCCATCTGTGAAATGAGAGGATTGAACTCAATAGTTTCTGAGATACTTTCCAGGGCTAGATACATGAGTGTAAGCCTAATAGCAAAGCCTAAGAGATAAAACAGGGTCATGGAAAGAGACCCATAAACTATGAGCCGTTGTTTTCTCAACTGTAAAATGGGAATGAGGTTCTTCCTATTGAGAGGATCCAATGGGGTCATAAATACAAAAAATGCTTTTTACAATGTAAAATGCTGCATGAATGTTTCTATGATTGTCACATTGCCTTCTCCTCCTACCTCTTGAATTGCCCCTTCTCAGTCTCCTTTGCTGTATCACCATCCTGCCTACTAAATAGTGCATCCCCAAGATTCTGTTCTGAGCCTCCTTTTCTCCCCCACTTGGTGTCTCATCTGCTCTCAAGAACTAATTTTTCCTCTCTATGAAGAAGATTCCAAAATCCATCCATCTAGCTAGCTCAACTCTCTCTCCTGAAGTGTCATCTCTCACCAACTACCTGTTGGGCATTTCCACCTGGATGTTTGGCAGGCCTTTTAAACTCAGCAACCCCATCCCAGAATTTATAATCTCTCTCCCCCACCCCCACCACCCAAATACATCCTTCCTCCAAAATTCCCCATTTCTGTAGGGGGCACCATCTTTGTCCCAGTCATCCAGGTTCACAACTTCCTAGTTATCCTGACGTTTTTCTACTCCTTCCAGCACCCTATCGTCTTGTTCATCTTACCTCTGAAATATCTCTTGAATTTGTCTCTCTGTCCATCATAGAGCTCTTTCCTAATTTGCTTTCTTGCTTCCCAATCTCTCCCTCATCCATTCTATCTTCCACACAGCTGCCAAATCGATTCTCTTAAATCACCTATCACTCTCTTACTCCAAAGTCTTTAAAGGATCCCTACCGCCTCTGGGATATTTTGTTTGTGTTTCTGTTTTTACCCGATCTAAATCCTTTAGTATAGGGAGTTCCTGGTGAAGAGAGCTCACCTCTTCAGAACTTACACCCAGGAGACCCCACGAGTCTACCCAGCGCTTGGCACAGTGCCTGGCATATAGTGAGCGATTAATAAATGTTTATTCGTTTGACTGATTAATTGATTGATTAATGTCCCAGGCAAGGCCCCCTTTGCTTCGTAAAGCCAATCCTGGGAGTCCACAAGAGTTAAAATCAAGAAACTTCGCCAATGGCTGAGTCATAGGTCCGAGGGGTCACCCCCCACCCTTTCCCCAATTATTAGACTCGACTTCCAGCTCAGAGTTGCTCTCGGGAATTCCGGCTTAGAGAGAAAACTACTCCCCTTACCCTTCCCCGTCCTCTCGGTGCCTGCTGTGGCCGAGACCCCTCCACTCACTCCCAGGAAGGTATCAGCAGACTGACTGCTTGTACTCCCCTCTCCTTCCCCTCCCGGGAGTCTCCGGGCTCGGTGTGCGACTCTGGAGAAGCTCCTCCCTCCCTGCGGATCCCTGCCTACTGCAGTTCAGTGGAAAGGTTCCAGCTCCGGAGTCCGAGGGCGTGAATTCCTATCTTACTTCTCATTCGCTCTCTAATTGCACGTCACCTTGGACGAGTCATTTAATTACATTGTATTCTGCGGGGAGGGTCTCATCCAAGATCACTGCTTTACAGCTCTGTGCCGCCCCCACTCCAACCCGCTCCCCTCCCCCATGACCCTGGGGGAGTGCACGGCCCCCTGACCTGGAAGTCTAGAAGATCCCTGGTTAGCTGTGTGACCTAGGGCTAGTCACTTCACCCCGCCCCTCAGGCCTCTTCTCTAACGGGAAGGTACCTGTGGTTCTTTCTGGTTCTAGACCGACGAACTTGGAGATCAGTTTGAATCCCATGTGGGCTTTGTAAATAACTAAGATCTCAATAACATCTAAGACCATGACCCTAGAAATTCAAGTCCTCTCTGGGGCCTTGTTTCTATATCTCTAAAACTGGGGAGGGGGGTTGGGGTTTGGAGTTGGATTAGGTGACTTCTGAGGTTCCAGCCAATAATCAATAATTAATAAAAATGTATTAAGCATCTACTCTGTACCGGGCACTTCCAGCTGTAGATCTACGATGTGATTTAGGGGTGGGGAGGGAGGCCCAGCTTTGGTCCCCCTTTCTTATATTGCCTTCCAGCCCTACCAGCCCAAGTAATGATAGCCCTCTCCCCTTTCCAGACCTCACAGCTGGTCGCTGTGATGGAGCTGGACTTCACTGGAGGACAATGTGTATGCAACGAACTTTCTAAAAGTGTCCCCTAACTGGACTATTCAGGGAAATCTTAGACAAATCATCTCACTTCTCTGGACCTCTTTTTTTTTTTAACTCCTCAGAATTTTGCACAATGCCTAGCACATAGTAGATGCTTAATAAATGTTTATTGAATGAATTGAATGACTGAATGGGCCTCAGTTTTCTCATCTAGAATATGGAAGAGGTTGGACTAAGTCCCTTCCAATCCTGCATCAATGATATATTACCTACTTGGTGATTTGATGCATTTTCAAAGGGATTTTCCTAAAACAGGTCTTGCCATGTCACCTGACTTTTCCTATTTTCCTAGGATCAAATGCTTGACTTTTAAAACCCTTCACAACCTGGCCCTAGCCTGCCTTTCCAGTCTTCTTATATTTGACTCTACCTTCTGGGAACACTCGCCCTCTTGCATTTTGTTATCTACCACACTCCAATCTCCCACCTCCGTGACTTTGCACTGCCTCCAACCCATGCTTTATGCTCTGCCTCTTAAACTTTGACTTCCCCTGACTTGCTTCAGGGCTGATCTCATGTCTGGGGGGAGCCCCTGGCCAGTCCCCATGGCAGCTAGTAGGCACTTAATAAATGGTTGATTGACTCTGATTGATATTTATGTTAAATTCAATCCACAACCATTAATTTCATAGTAAATGCCAGGCACTATGAAAAACACTGAGCATATTTTAAAAAGGGCAAAAAGCCAATTCCTGCCCTCAAGGAGCTTTCATTCTAATGGAGACAACATGTAAATAACCAGCACATAAAATATATATACCGAGTAGAAGGAAGGTAGTCTCTGAGGGGAAATATTAGCAGCTGGGGGAACTGGAAAACAGCCTCATGTAGAAGGTGGGATTTGAGCTGAATCTTCAAATATGCCAAGGAAAGTAAGATGGAAAATATTCCAGGCTTGGGGACCAGCCAGGGTGACAGCAAGGAGCTGGGAGATGTAGCTTCCCTATATTTGAGGAACTACAAGTTGGCTGGTGTCTCTGATAAGAGTTCTTGGAGACAAAAGAAAGCGAAAGGTGTAGGAAGGCTGGGAAGGTCAGAGGACCTTTACATGACAAACCAGAAATGTCACAAAGCATTCTATTAAGTACAAATTGTGTTCCTGGTAGGTACTTTCCAACTGCTTGGGGGGAGGAAAGTTACCAGAGAGCTTGATTCGACTTGCAAAGGGCCCTGGGGAAGCCAGACATAGCTACCCTGAAAGAATAAGGAAGGAAATTTGTCTTTTCCTAGGGAATTTAAAATATAATCAGTTCTTCTGATGATATGATAATATGTAAGGCTTTTCTCTGCATGGACCAAACCCTTAACCAATGGCTGCTAAGCCTCAAGGACTGATTGATCAGTCTCCTAACTTCGTACCACCTTCCTTTGATTTTTGTTTTTTCTTCTCAAAAGATTATGAAAAGCTCAGCCTTGCCGTGATTCAGAGAGCAGCCTACTTCATGACCCTAAAATTGTATTTGAAATACTTCCTCTCTTATAGCTTTTAAGTAACAAAGAACAATAATACCTTGGCTAAGAGAGACAAACCGGAGGAGGAAATAAATCCTTCCACTTTGGGGGCCTTCTGATTTCTTCCTGGTTGGTAGGAGACCTCCACCTCTGCTCTCATATGCAGCTCTTTGGAAGTCTAAGAGTTGCTGGGGAGAGGTTAATTGACTAGCCTGGGGTCACACGGCTCTCTTGGGAGTCGGAGGCTAGGCTCGGAAAGCTAGCCCCTCTATCCATTCTACTAAATTACTTCTGGATTACATAGTAATTTAAAGAAGAGAGGATTGTACCTGGGTGCATAGTAAGTGCTTTAATAAATGTTTGTTGGTTGATGATTTGGGGGAATCAGAAAAGGTACCAGAACCTTGCTTTGAATGACTCCTTAGGGATTCTGAGGGGAGAGTGCTTTCCATACTTGGGCCAGCCTTTGTAAAGGCTTGGAATGTTGAGATGGGATATCCTATAGGGGAAACAACCAGATTAGAAGGGAGTGCCTTAGAAATAACATTAAATAATTATTGATGAAGCAATTGTGATATGTGGTAGGTGATCCTGTCAACAATCCAAAGCAGTTGTGATTTGTGGTAGGTGGTCCTGTCAACAGCCCGGGAAGGGATTTAAAAGGCTTGGTTGAAGATTTTTGGAAGGGAATGACCCAATTCAGATCTGTGATTTAGGGAGATAGTTGTATAGAGATTGGGTTGATAAGAGGAGTTCTTAATCTGGGCCTTTCCTACTTTTTCAATCTTCTTCCACCTCATTCCCTTTCATACCCTCTGTGACCCAGGGACCATTGATCTCTTGGCTCTTCCTCCAACCAGAAACTCCATCTCCTGGCTCCAGGTATTTTCCCCAGTTGTCCCCCCTCCCCCTCCACCCCCCATGCCTGGAACACTCTGTTTCCTCATCTCTGTCTCCTTGCTCCCCTGGCTTCCTTCAAGTCTCACCTAAGACCCCACCTTCTACAAGAAGCTTTTCTTAGCCCCCTTTAATGCTAGTGCCTGTCCTCATTGATTATCTCAAATTTATCCTGCATATATCTTGTTTGTACATGACCCTATGGCATCTCCTCCATTCGATTCTGAGCTCCTTGAGGTCAGGAACTGTTTTTTAAGTATTCTTTGCACCTCCAAGGCTTTCTTAGCACAGTACCTGGTACATGTTTGTTGACTTGGGGTCTCCATTTTATTTTTTCATATTTTGATAAACTATATTTCAACACAACTGGTTTCCTCTGTGATCCTACGTATTTTGTTTTATTCATGTAAAGACATTCTGTGAATATAGTAGTCTACATTCTGTAGAATGGGTATTTGGGGACTAAAATTCAGACCAATTGGTTGTTGTCCTTCATTCTCAAAGAGGACCAAAATGACATCACAATGTTGGAGTCAAGGTACAGTGTGTTCAACTGGCTGACAGAAAACCTGTGTTTTCTTGTTCTTAATTAGTAGGCCCAAATTAGCACAAGCAGCAGAGAACCAATCCATACTTCATTGCATCTTAGACTCAGAGGCTGCATGGAGTGCATAATCATGTTCGAACAAAAAGTCGAGCATCACCTCTTTCTCCATTTTAGTCTTGGCTTGTAGCCTTTTCAAGTTAAATAATTGACCATCAATGTGGTAGCTGATCTTGGTGTTCTTTTTTTCCTCGTTGAAGGCATCTAACAACAACAAAAGGGACTGGTGCTAGATATTCAGAGGGAACAAAAGAGATACAAGCTATGATTAGGGAGTAGAATTAACAAGACTTGGCAAATGATTGGATATATAGGCCCCAGGTGAAGGAGAGGGAAGAATAGAAAACCGGCTCCACAGTTGTGAACCTGGATGACTTTCCAGAGTTGGTGTCCTTGGAGAGATGGGGTCAGTCCATCAGTCAATAAACTAGCATTTATTAAGTACCTTCTATATACTAGGCACTGTGCTAAGGGAGGGAGGGAAGGAGACAAAGACAATCCCTGTTCTCATGGAACTGCAGACCAATAGGGGAGACAAGATGCAAACAGCTATGAACAAACAAGATACAGACAGGAGAAACTGAGGCAGATGACATAGTCAGACCTGTTTCTTTAGGAAAACTACAGTTATCCCTCCACATCGAGGGGGCTTATGGGCATGGCACCCCTGAGATCTGGAAAATCCCATAAATGTTTTTGGCCGTTCCTTTGTATCGAGGAAATATGAGCTTTTTCTTTTTCTTCTTTAGGATGCTGATATCATACAATGCTATACACACATTTTATGCATTTCTGAGTTTCTAAACTTTTTCTGTGTCGTCTGTTGGCTTTTGCATGTTGTCTGTGTCTTCCTCGAAACTCCCAAGAAATTCCCTTTTAATTTCTTATGCCGACCCTTGATATATAGAAAACTTTTTTTGGGAAAATCGAAATGTAAAAGGGGTAACTGTATTATTTCAATTTTGGACATACTGAGTTATGTCTTAGGCTCCTTCTAAGTTACTGGAGGCATCCAGAAGCTTAAATGAGCAAATTTGTGTAAAGTAAATAATAATAAATAGAGTAAAAAACTGGCTATTTTTACTATTGATAGCCACTCCTAATTATCTAGAGAAAGTTCCTTCTCCAAGCCTCTTTCTTTCACTCAGTTAAGTGGGTACTATAAAAACAAATGAACAAACTCAGCCGTTTCTCCCCTTCCCATCCCCCTCCCCGCCAGGGACTGGGAGTGCTTCGGGGAAAGTCTTTGTTATGCGAAAGCTCCCAGGTCCAAATGATCAATTCTTTATTCCAGTTCTTATCTCCCAACCCCCTGGGTGCCCCTTCCCCTTCCTCCCCCTCTCCTGGGAGGTGCTTCTCTCTCCCCATCCCCTCCATGCTTGGGTGGAGAGGAAGACACCTAACCTGGAACTTCTTCTACTCTGCTCCACTACATTCTCTCCTCCCCAGTCCTGGAGGACCGAGCTACAGATCCAGGATTCTCAAGAACTCACAGGTCTAGTGGAAGTCTGGAACTAGGTAATCTTTTTGTAGGTTTTTTAATTTGATTTCTAAAGGCAGGATTCCCCCAAACCCTGGAGAAGCTTGGAGGTGGGAAACCTTTTGTTAAGGTTATATTGGGGTTCAATGACATGGTATTGACAGTAGCCTGACTGTGTGAGCATTCGAGTCTGACAAAACTTGGTGGATTCTTGGGGTAAATAGAGGAAGCTGGGGGCGGGGCAGCAGGATCTCACTGATCTCTTCTTTGCCCCTGTTGCCCTAAGTTTCCCTTGGTTTGGGCAGAGACTGGGAGGGTTTGGGGGAGATGTCTGCACTCATTCCTATACTTGGCCACCCTCTCATCCCTTTTTCCAACTACTTATTCTTGAGGGCTATGTTTCTGATGACTAGGTAAAGATCTGGAAGGTATGGAGGAAAACAGAAACTTTCTTTCCTCTGCCATTATGGGTTGGATGCTTCTTCCTTTCCAATGAAAGGTTTAGACCTTGGTGGTGATAATGGCCAAAAAACTCCTCATCACTGCCTTCCTCTCTGAGACTAGTCTTGTGAGTGTCTTGGAGAGCTCTCCATCTGGCAGCTGTCCCAGACCCTTACTGTGCTGGAGAAGGATGGGGCAGAGAAATGAGGGGAAGGATATGAAATATTGGGATACCTTATGCACTTTCTATATAGTGAGAGAAAGGAAGTGAATGAACTTTTAAGCTCCTACCAGGCACTGTGCTAAGCACTTTACAAATCTCATGTGAGCCTCACAATAACCCTGGGAAGTAGTTGCTGGTATTAGCCCTATTTCACAGTTGAGGAAACTGAGGCAGATAGAGGTTCAGTGACTTGCCCAGGGTCACACATCTAATGTTTGAGGCTAGTTTGGAACTCAGGGTCTTCCTGACTAGCGTCTAGAACTCTATCCACTGTGCCATACATTATCTGCCATCATAGCCCGAACATCATATCTCCAGGCTCTCTATACCTTTCAAGCTCAGAGGAAGCTCATTTCTTGGTTTTCTGAAAACTGTTAGAGAAAGCATAAGAAGAGGATCCCTTTCTTGTATGGATTAGTCTGGATGGCCGCAAAGCCAACGGGCCCCAAAGGGCCAACTCTGAGTGCCTGTGATTCTGGAAGTAGAATTTCTTGGTTTTAAGGAGATTTTATTAAAAGGAGGCCAGCCCAAGGAAAGAAAAAAGAATAGAATTCCCTAGGGCTTTAATGGGATTTTTTTTTTTCAAATTAGGGAAGTTAATGGAGTGAGGGGGTGGGGCCAACTCCAGGAAAATTGGGTGGATTTCTGCTCTGGTATATTCAGCTAACTCTGTTTTCCTTATTGCCTCTCAATAGGCTTCAGGGACTTTCTCTTTCCTTGGTTCTTGAATGGAGGGAGCAAGGTGTGCCTTAGAGACTGGGGCACTATCTCCCCGTGTGGTGACGACTGAGAAGCTAGAGATGCCAGTGCCGATGGCTGCATCCCCCTGGGCTCCACTGGAAGGAGCTGAGCCCCAGGTGGTGAACACAGAGGAAGATTGCACCCAGGAGCAGGAGAACACCTCCAACCCTGAGAACCTCCAGCATGACGGGGTGCAAGAGGATAACTTTCAACAGAGGTTTAGACGCTTCCGTTACAAGGATGCCGCTGGACCCCGTCAGCTGCTTCAGCATCTCCGAGAGCTCTCCCGAAGGTGGCTGGACCCAGCGGTTCACACAAAGGAGCAGATTATAGAATTGCTTGTGCAGGAACAGTTCCGGGCCATCTTGCCTGAGGAACTCCGACCCTTAATCCAGGAAAAGAAGACAGATGTTCGAATCACTGGGTAAGATGCCTCCCACGGAAAGTGCACAATGCTGTCAAGAAATGGGCCAGGTCCTTGCTGATGCCAGCGTGAGGTGGATTTGAGCTACTATTTGATGCTTTTTTTGGATCGTTTGAGGTTTTTTAAAAAGTTGCTGAATGCACCTTTTCTTGGATTTCAGACACCATATTAAAATTCGGTTTTGAGTAAGACTTGGTATTGTGGTGATTGTCTGGGTAGGTGCTTACTGCTTTGGGAAAGGTGAAGTAATACTGGGTGGTGGAGTGGGTAGGCTAAAGATTAGGACTCTATTGCTACTTTGAGTTGGGAGAGATAAAATGGTCTAGACCGTTTTCTTAATTTTACCCAGTCAGTCAATAAATATTTATTAAGCACCTACCCATATGCTAAGCACTGGCAATAAAAATTTAAAAAATAGAGGCAAAAGACAGTCCCTGCACACCAGGAGCTTACAGTCTAACAATGGGAGACAGCATGTAAACAATTACAAAAAGCCAGCTACTTACAGGATAAAATAGGAGATAATTAAGAGGGAGACTGCATTAGAATTAGGAGGGGTTGGGGAAAACTTGTAGAAGGTGGGATTTAAGGAGCCCAGGTTGGGTGCTACTCTAGGAACCAAGTTATCTTAATCAGGCCTGAATATTTCCATCTGGTGACCTTCCCTCTGGCACTATATCTTTTAGATAAGTAATGGGGACCATTGCAATCCTGGTCTCTTTACTGGGAAGTGTTGGAAGGCAGGAGAGGCCAGGCAGGATGGGCATTCTTAATTTCTGTTCCACCTTATCAAGCACCAAAATTTTGTTATACGTTAATTACATTTCAAAGTGATGCCTTCCTCTGGAAGGGGTCCTGTAAGAGCTAGCAAAAATAGTGAATATTTAAATAGTGCTTACTATGTACTAGGTACTATGCTATGCACTTTACAATTATTTATTATCTCCCTTGTTCCTCAACAACAACCCTGGGAGGTTGGGCTATTGTGATCCCCATTTTACAGATGAGGAAACTGAGGCAAGCAGGTTAAGTAACTTTCCCAGGGCGACAGCTAGTGTCTGAGGCTAGATTTGAACTCTGATCTTCCTGACTCCAGGACTAGCATGCAATCCACTCTGCCACTGAGTTGCCTTCACAAAAATCTCTTTCATTGTTTCTTATATCTCCATTCACACCACTAGGACCTCATCACCTTGACCATTACAATAAACTATTTTTTAAAAATTAAAAGTTCTTTTTCAATTATCTAGCATTTGGGGCAAGAACATTATGAAATGCAAAATAGATAATTTTGATTATATTAAATTGAAAAGTTTTTGCACAAACAAAGCCAATGCAACCAAGATTAGGAGGGAAGCAGAAAACTGGGAAAGAATTTTTATAACCAATGTCTCTGATAAGGGCCTCATTTCTAAAATATATAGAGAACTGAGTCAAATTTATAAGAATACAAGTCATTCCCCAATTGATAAATGGTCAAAGGATATGAACAGGCAGTTTTCAGATAAAGAAATTAAAGCTATCTATAGTCATACAGAAAATGCTCTAAATCACTATTGATTAGAGAAATGCAAATCAAAACGGCTCTGAGGTATCACCTCACACCTATCAGATTGACTAACATGACAAAACAGGAAAATGATAAATGTTGGAAAAGATGTGGGAAAATTGTAGCCTTAATGCATTATTGGTGGAGTTGTGAACTGATCCAACCATTTTGGAGAACAATTTGGAACTATGCCCAAATGTATAAAAATATACATGCCCTTTGACCCAGCAATAGCACTTCTAGGGCTATATCTCAAAGAGATCATACAAATGGGAAAAGGACCCACAGGTACAAAAATATTTATAGCAGCTCTTTTTGTGGTGGCAAAGAATTGGAAAGTGAGGGGATGCCCATCAATTGGGGAATGGCTGAACAAGTTGTGGTATATGAATGTAATGGAATACTATTGTGCTATAAGAAATGATGAGCAGGTGGACTTCAGAAAAACCTGGAAAGACTTGTATGGTCTGATGCTGAGTGAAGTGAACAGAACCAGGAGAATGTTGTACACAGTAACAGACATGGTGTGCAATAACTAATTTTATCAAAGCTAGTTGATAGACTTAGCCCTTCTCAGCAATGCAAGGATCTAAGACATCTCCAGAAGTCTCATGATGGAAAATGCTAACCACATCCAGAGAAAGAACTATGGGGTTGGAATGCAGATCAAAGCACACTATTTGCACTTTTTTTTCTTTCTGTTGTGTTTTGTTTCCTCTTTCGGGTGGTTCCTCCTATTGTTTCTAATTCTTCTTTACAACACCACTAACGTGAAAATATGTTTAATAAGAATGTATATGTAGAGCCTATGTCAGATTGCACGCCATCTCGAGGAGAAAAGGAGAGAAAATTTAAAACTCAGAAGCAAAAAAATAAACTGTGAAAAAAAAATATTGTTTTGAGGTCCAAATGAAATATCAAAAAAAAAAAAAAGAAAAAGAAAAACCCTTGAAACAAAAATAACAATCTAGCAAAAACAAATTGTCAGGTTAGCTATGTCTAAAAATGTCTATCCCATTCTACATTAGTGTATCGCCCCTCTGTCATGAGATGGGGTAGAATTCTTCATTATCTGACTCTGGAATCATGGCTGAGCAATAGACTCTTAATCAGACTTTTAATTGGACTCCCAGGATTGGGTTTCTCTTCCTTCCAATTCATCCTTCACGTAGCATCAAAATAAATTCCTAAAGTTTAGGTCTTACTGTCACTCTCCTGTCCTTGAAGCTCCTGTGGCTCCCTATTGCTATTTTTGATAAAAATCACATTCTTCTATTTGGCTTTTAAAGCCCTTCCCAATCTGCCTCCAACCTTTTTTCTGGGTGAGTATACATTACTCCTTGCAGCTCAGGGAAGCAGCTCAGCTTTCCAGGAAGCTAAAGAAATAGCAGACTTTCCCAGGAATAAGCCTGGGGTCTGGGGAATGGCTTAACTACTTCCAGACAGAATTTTTGCCAGAACTGGTCATTAATAATAATAATAGGTAGCACATATATAGCGCTTACTATGTGCCAGGCATGGTGTTAAGCATTTTACAATTATTATCTCATTTAGTCTTCACAACAACCCTTTGAAGTAGGTGCTATTTATGATCCCAATTTTAAGATAAACTGAGGCAGGCAGAGATTAAGTGACTTGCCCAAGGTCACACACCTATTAAGTGTCTGACAGGCACATCTGAATTCATCTCCCTGATTCTAGGCTCAGCGCTCTGGGTGCTATGGCGCCACCTAGCTGCCTTTTGGAAGTCCAGCTCAGGGCTGTACAGACAGGAGAAGGCAGAAATAGGCTCTCCCTAGGCCACAGGTCGGCTGAAGGCAGCTCAGACTGGCTCCAAAGAGCTGATTGTTAAAATTTCAGGAGGGAACACTTACACCTCTTGTTATTGTCCTACTCTTTGTGACCCCATTTGGGATTTTCTTGGCAAAAGTACTGGAGTGGTTTGTCATTTCCTTCTCCAGCTCATTTTACAGATGAGGAAACTGAGGCAAACAGGGTGAAGTGACTTACTCAGGGTCACATAGCTAGTAGGTATATGAGGCTGGATTTGAACTCAGGAAGATGAGTCTTCCTGACACCAGGCCCAGGGCTCTGTGCACCATGGCGCCACCTAGTGACCATTTACACCTCAGTAATAGACAAATGCTACACATCAAAGCCTGATTTCTTGTTTTGTTGATTGTCTAAACTTTAAAGTGATAGAGTAAATGTAAATAATACAGACTAAATTTAAAAGTATGTACTTAGGGGCAGCTAGGTGGCGCAGTGGACAGAGCACTGGCCTTGGAGTCAGGAGTACCTGAGTTCAAATCCGACCTCAGATACATGACACTCACTAGCTGTGTGACCCAGGGCAAGTCACTTAACCCCAACTGCCTTGCCAAAAAAAAAAAAAGTATGTACTTCCTGCCCCTCTCCCCCATTCCAAGCAGGTTGCCAAGGGTTCAGGTAGGTTACTTGAGCCCACATGATCTCATCCTAGGCTCCTACTGGTGTCAAGGAAGCCAGCTGAGGCAGTGAATAGGGCAGTTCTCAAAGCACTGTCCACAGACCACTGACCCTTCCAGGGGGTCTTGCAGGCCAAAACTGTTCATAATAACATGGAGCTGTTTTCATTTCTAACATGGCAAGCATCAATAAATGTAACCCACACAAACACAAGCTCTTTAAGGGGAGGGGGTGGTCCTCAATTCTGAAGAATGGGAAGGGGTCTGGAGACCAAAAAGTTTGAGAACGGCTGGGATAGAGTATTGACGCTGTGGTCAGGGAAAACTTGTATAGACTTGATGCAAAGTGAAGTGAGTGGAATTAGAACATCTTATAACATCAACATTGTAAAAACGAACAATTTGAAAGATTTAAGGACTCTGATCAGAACAATTATCAATCTTGATTCCAGAGGACCCACTTCCTGACCCAGAAGTGATTAACTAAGGCACAGAATGAGACATGCATTTTTGGAAATTTGCTTTGCTTGCTTATACAGGTTTGCTACAAGATTTTTCTTTTCCAGGAGAAAGGAGAAAAATATGTATTTGATCACTGAGAAAAAATTTAATTTAACAGTAACAATAATAACAGCTAGCACTTGTATACGATTTTAAGGTTTGTAAAGTGCTTTATAAATATCATTTCATTTGATCTTCACAACAGCCCTGGAAGGTAGGAGCTATTATTATCCCCATTTTACAGATGAGAAAACTGAAGCAGAGGTTAAGTGACTTGCTCTGTGAATTTATCTAAGGGCTAAGAAGTGTTTGGGGCTGGATTTAAACTCAGGTCTTCCTGATTCCAGGGGCAATATTCTATACATTGTACCACTTCATTTTTTAATTAAAAAGATTAAATTTTTAATGGTATTTTACAGATTAACTAGGTTCATGCCCTAATGAAACGTGTTGCCCTCACCTATATCTTAGAGATAAGAGATTCTGGCAGCTAGGGGGCGCAGTGGAGCAAGTTCAAATTTGGCCTCAGACTAGCTGTGAGACCCTGTGCAAGTCATTTAACACTGTCTCAATTTCATCAACTGTGAAATGGGACTAATGTGGTGTTCTAACCATCATACTACCCTTCTTCTATGAAACATCTATAAGTAGCCGGCT